TGTAGAGCTAAGGTGGGGATGGATGGTCTGGGAAGTTCCCCAGGCTGTCAGACACACTCACTCCTGCTTTCCTCCTTGCTGCAGGAAGGGAGGTGGAATGACAGTCCATGCAACCAGACCCTGCCATCCATCTGCAAAAAGCCTGGGAGAGTGAGCCAGGAGAAGGAGGAGGATGACCATGGGTGCCGAAAGGTGAGGGAGACCTGGGGGTGGGAGGTGGCTCTGATGATGCTCGGGGCTTCGGGACCCCTCTCCCAAAACCACTTCAGCCAGCCCTGCTGAGCAGCGCCTGGAGCTGCTCCTCGTGCCTGGGGGCTCAGCCCCTCACTTCTGAGGTTGCACGAGGCCGCAGGAGGAAACTGGGACAAAACTCCCGTCTCCATCATCCAAGATCCTCGCCCTGGGGCTGGCCTGGTTGCCAGCAGGGACGTTAATGTGTTCCTTTTTCCTTCGGCCTCTCTCCGTGCCAAAACCCAGCAGCAAAGCGGCTCCGCGTGGGACGGGGGCTGCCTTTTCCAGGCGGGATACGGGCGTTCCAGGGACGCCGCCACCAAAGTGGTGGGTTCTCACCCGACCCTGCTCTGCCTCAGTTTCCCCGGCTGAGGCCACCCCGTTCCCACGCTCTCTGGGAAGTCTTTTTGTGCCTGTCCCCAGGCTCCGAGCAGCCGGCCTGGCATCGCCACCACGCTCCAGTGTCTCCCAGCGCCCCGGAGCAAGCCAGCGGGCACTGGCACCCGCACCACTAACAGCCCCAATGGGCTCTTCCCAGGTCCTCACCCCGGCACAGCAGAGACAAACCTTGGCAGACACTTGGCTCTGTGGGAGCTCAGGGAGCTGCCAGAGCCAGAGGAACCCCAGTGTTGGCAGGTGCTGGGGACAAGGTGCTTGGTGGCAATGTGCCACCATCACCCATCTGCTTGTCCCCACAGTCCTGAGGGCTAACAGCGTGTCCCCATGCAGATAGAACCCTCCTGCCTCCCTAGCCACACAGTGTTACCCTGGCCCTGGGTGCCCAGCAGAGATGCACCCACTGGGAAACAAACTGGCAGTGATACATGAACCAAGGAAAGACACTTTCCCATCGTTCTCATCCTCAAATTTGCTACCCAGATGCAGAGGCTGAGGGAGAGGAGGCAGAACCCTGCTTGGATAATCAGCCCCGGTCCTCTCCAGCCACCATGCTGGGTTTTCTTGGTGGCTTTGCTGCTTTTTCTCCCCCTTTTCAAACCCTCTTTACTTTTGGAAGAGCCTTACAGGAAGGTATGGGGGGCGGGTGGAGGTTTGGGCAGTGGGAAAGGCAGAGGCGGAGAGGGATGATGGGGTATGCTGGGATTTGGAGCTGGAGTCAGCAACTGGAGTTGATGGTCTTGGGCCCTATTGCTAACTTTGGGGAAAGGCTGCAGGAACAGGAATTTAGGGAGAAAAAAAAAGGGATTTGGGATTTGGTCTCCCAAAGGTGCTCTCCTGCTTTCCTCCCCACCATGCTGCCGCTACTGCAGGTGGCACGTGTCTTTCCAGTGCCCAGGGACCCAGGGATAAAGCCCTGGCTGCAGTTCCTGCCCTGCCAGGAGGGTCCCTGAGCCTCCCGCTGAGCCCTTCACCCTTCCCACCCTCGCTCTTCCTCCCGCGGGTGAGCCCCTGTGTCCCTCCCCACACCACCCCCTCTGCTGCCAGCCCCAGGGCCGCCCCGCTCCCTGCTCTGGCAGAAGACAGGAGCTATTGTGTCTCCAGCCCCGGAGAGGCTCCAACATCAACAAGG